TGAGTTGCTTCTAAAGAAGGTGCTGCGTATCATCCTGAGGAACGGCTGACTTAAAGAGACTTCACTGATTAGCTAGTGTACCATGGATCTATCCATTAGTCTGCATTAGCTTTTTATTAAATGTGGAGACTTTATTAAAATAGGAAGGCACTGGGGCACCTTGGTGGCTCAGTGTGTTAAGCGTTCGACCCTTGGTTTCGTCATGATCTCAAGGTTTGTGAGTTCGAGCCCCGCATTGGGCTCTGCACTGACCGTGTGGAGCCTGCTTGGGATTGTCTCTCTCCCCTTGTCTCTCTGCCCTCCCCCTGCTTGCACTCACTCTCTCTCTCTGTCTCTCTCAAAAGTAAATGAACGTTTAAAAAATAGGAAGGCATTAATATTAATTTATAAAATGTAACACACAATTTAGACCAGAGCAAGATTTAAAGGACTGCAAACACCAAGTACCTTCTGGTATCATCCATTTACCCGCACCGGCTAAGGTGCCCCTTGATGCAGGCAGTACTGCCTTCACATTTTCAGCAAAATGACCTGTGGGCGTATAACCACAGAGTGTTCAGGAGAGCCTAGTAGAAGGTAATCCTTTAATTAGGAAGTTAGAGGGGCGCCTGGGTGGCTCAGTCGGTTAGGCGTCCGACTTCAGCTCAGGTCACCATCTCGCGGTCCGTGAGTTCGAGCCCCGCGTCGGGCTCTGGGCTGATGGCTCAGAGCCTGGAGCCTGCTTCGGATTCTGTGTCTCCCTCTCTCTCTGCCCCTCCCCCATTCATGCTCTGTCTCTCTCTGTCTCAAAAATAAATAAACGTTAAAAAAAAAAAATTTAATTAGGAAGTTAGAGTCTCTAAGGGTCACAGATTACTGGTGAAAGATCACGTATGTGTTGCTGTAGGACTTTGAGTATGAATATTACTGTTCTAATCTTAGCTCTGTTTCTATAAACAACTTGCCCTCTCCATTTCATTGAAATGTGTTCTAGGAAAGTCTTAATCCAGCTCTGCGATGCCGGAGCCTTGTATCTATTCATGTCGTGCCATGTTCCACGTGCACTTTTGATGTTCTCAGGGTCTGAGCCTCTGCGGGTTCCTGTGTAGCTACGATGAACTAGAAGAGCCGCACTCTCCCTAGAGAGTGGCCGGGCCAGGTTTCCAGTTTCTGCGTTTCCTGTCTGTTGCCCCCCACACAGGTGGGGAACAGGAAGTGAAGGAACCGGAAGATCTCAGTGACGCTGTGGCTGTTCCCGTGGGGACTGGTGTGCCAGTGCAGCGTGGGGGTGAGTGGGTGGGCTTCCAGGTCCGGCTGCATGGCATACAACTGCTACCTCACCATTCTTAATTGTGTGGCTGTGGGCAAGTTATTGAACTTGGAAGCCTCCGTTTCTTCCTGTGAAAATGGGGATCGTCCTTGACTCATGGAGTCATTGGAAAGATTGAGTTAACGATTCTAGAATACCAAGCGTGGCAGTGCCTGGCACATGGAAAACACTCTGTAAATGTCAGCTACTGTTATTATTAATCAGATTGTGTTTTCCTTCCTTAACTCCCTGTCCTTGGAGGTCTTAGTGTTCAGTGTCCATGTTTTTTAAAACATGTTTCTATTTTTTAAAGGGACCAGCTATTGTTTTTCTGGAGAGTCCTTTTTTAACAAGGTACATGTACGTCCTAATTGAAGATGTGCTGTATTGTGGCTTCCGTGGAACCATAATATAATAATGGAATTAGGGCTTTATCTTTATAATTAGAATGACCTCTTCCTTCTTTCCAGATAAACCTTTTCTGATCTCTCTCCATCAGGCTTGTTTTATGAGGGGAGATGGTCACGCTTGGGATTTCCCAATCGTCTTTTCATTGTAAGGAAGTTTTGCTGAACTTCTTTCAGCTTGAGCACTCGTATGTGAGACAGTAATCACCAAATTATCCCCAGAGAGAGGAAAGTCTGGCTTGTTACTGTGGTCGGGTCCCCTGGTGATGGGAACGGAGAATAATGGGTGGGCGGAGGGTTTTCTCACAGTCCACCCATGGTGTCTGACCGCTGTGAGACCTCAAGGAAGGCACCTTTTAATGTTAATGTGCTGTGTTGGAGAAATAGCACTTAAAAGTATGTGTTTGTTTCTCCACACGAATGTATTCACGACTGGAGGATGCCGGTGAGAAGAAATTTAGCAATGTGGAAATGCGCCCGTGACACAGCCCCACACGTGAGTTCACAGCTGGAAATGTACAAGCCCTAGAGGGGGTGGCGTCTTCTTTGCCCGAGATGGTCATTCTGATAGAAGAGGTCTTTACCTGGAAATGGAGAGCCTCATTCTGATAGAAGAGGTCTTTACCTGGAAATGGAGAGCCTCTGTACTGGTGGAGTGCCGTCTTTTGATAAACACGTGTTTTTGAAGAGGGAGAGCCCAGAAGCGCGTATCAGTGCCGGGTAGCTTTAATAGAGTTTTTAGAAAGGTTAACTTTCCTTTTCCGGTTTAGTGTCGGCTACTAGTAGTGAGGACGTTAAGCAGCAAATTGTATCTTTCGCTTCCTCTCTCAGACTGCATCTAGTACAATTTTAACCAGCCACAAAATGCAGCCGTTGAAGCCAGCATGATAGTTTAGGGCAGTTGGATGACGGTAACGATCATACTAGCTAGTCTTGGGGAGCGTACTGACTGCTGGCCCTGTGTTAAGCATCGTGTGCTTTTGCAAAACCACCAACAACCCTTTGAGGAAATGCTCCAGAGCGGCCCAGGGTTCCCCAGGTAGTCACAGGGGGCTGGATTAGAGTCTAGGGGTCTGGATTCAAATCCAGGCCTCCGGCTCCAGATCCTGCCTTAGCCCAGCCCTCAGTCGTGCCCACTGTTTGTTCACAGTCGGTGACATCGTACAAAGAATTCTAAGTTGGAAGTTTTCCTATATTGGATCGAAAACGCTTACTGTGATGAAACGTTGCATTCCAGGCCCTTGCATTCCTTGCCCTTGACCTCCTTGTTTCCCTTGATGCAAAAAAATTTAGGTCTAAGGGAGCAGAAGATAAAAGGAGGAGACATAAAAATAGTTGACTCCCTATATTGTAGACAATGGCCTAGTTTGTAGTTTAGTTTCGAAATTTCGCTCCTACTTTTTACTGTTTTGTCTTTTAGGACCATTTTTCTATTTCTCTATCTTTGCCTTTTCTACCTTTTCCCTTGCTAACATCTTTCATATTCATCAACTCTCAAATGCAAGTATTCCCACGCTTGCCTTTGTTCAGTGCTACGGTACAGATCCATGGTTTGGCCGTGCTAGGCTATAGCTATGCAGGGCAGGGAATTCTTGTTTTCATGTATAATCAAAAACTCCAGATGTGCCTGGGTGGCTCAGTCAGTTAAGCGTCTGCCTCTTGATTTCAGCTCAGGTCAGGATCTCATGGTTGGTTGTATGATTGAGCCCTGCGTCCTGCTCTGCCCTGAGTGTGGAGCCTGCTTAAGATTCTCTCTCTCTCTCTGCCCCTCCCTCCCTTCTCAAACAATAAATAAAATAAAACATAAGAAAAAAAGGCAGGGGCGCCTGGGTGGCTCGGTCAGTTGAGCGCCTGACTTCGTCTCAGGTCATGATCTCGTGGTCTGTGAGTTTGAGCCCCACATGGGCTCACTGCTGTCAGTGTGTAGCCTGCTTCAGATCATCTGTCCCCTTCTCTCTCTGTCCTACCCCGCTCATGCTCTCTCTCTCAAAAATAAATAAAACACTAAAAAAAAACCAAACCCTCTAGGGCACAGTGTTTTACTTCCTTTTTAGCTAAGGAGAGAAGGATCCTTTACCCAAATCTTTTCATTTGGGTAATCTCTCTCTCTTTTTCTTTCTCTTCTTCTTCTTCTCTCTCTCTCTCTCTCTCTCTCTCTCTCATAATTATTATGAATACTGTATATGACAGTATTACAGAAGAGGATAATATGGATACTGTTAGATCTTGAAGAAGGAGCTATAAGTACAAAGTAACATTTAAATTAAGATGCCTCTTGAGTTTTATTCTTCCTATTTCTGCAAGTTGGTTTCATCTGGGTGGTTTTTTTTTGTTTGTTTGTTTTTTGTTTTTTGTTTTTTTGGTGTTTGCAGGCAGAAGGGAGAATGCTTCATTCCCTAACCTGGTATACGTCGGCCTATGTGATATGTGTGTTTCAACACACACAGGCAGAATTAGAATCTCAGTCATGTCCTAAGTTTTCCCAGCCTGCAAAACCGGAACGTACAAGGGCATGTAACTGTCTGTCACTTGGAGGTGTTTGTAAAAACAACAACAGAAAACAGCCTTGAAAAATAGAAAACTCTTTTACAAGTTTATCAGGGGCTTCATCTGTAATATAAATGTAGACATTGACCCGGACGGACCAGTTGTTAGAACTTAAAGACACAATGCAGCCCTCGAGTTACAATGAACACCTAGGATTGGGCCCTTTCATTGTGTTCTTATTTGCCCAGTGAAATCCCAGCCAAGATGCCTTGTGTGCCCAGTAGAGACCCAGAGTTAACTCTGTCTGGTGCCACTTGGGAAAGACACCTTATCTGATACATAGAAGTTTCGTTGTGACTGAACACATTCGTCCTACTGCTCGTACTTGGCAGAATGTGGCCGAGGAGTTAAAGAGCACGGTCCTGAGAAGAAGTGATACACGACTTGGGGGAGAATGCCCGACCAGTCCTTCACTGTAGAAACTCCTGTTGAAACAGACTGGTACCCTTAGTCTACTGTGGTTCTCAAATTCTCTTCTTTCTTGGTTTATAAAACCTCGATAATGAGGTCCTTTTGAAATTGTGGTACTTACATTTCTTTAGACTGAATTCTAGAAGAAATGTAATAATGGTCCCGGGAAGGAACACAGTGGGGTGGGGTGGGGTGGGGTGGGATGGGGTCAGGATTGATTACAATTCCTCTGTGTTTTTAAATATCCACACAGGTTAATATGTGATAGGATGTTTACCTTCCGGAAAGCCTTACCTTTTTGTTTTCTCTTGCAGGGGTGACTTCATTTGAAGAGTTTTAAGACACTGAGGACTTACAAGATAAGAAATTGCTTGGGGAGGTTTTTAAAATTTCTATAAAGTTTCTATTGTGGAGTCTGCAGGCACGTGGATAGAAGCTCCAAGGGAATATTGTGCTGTGCTGGATACAGAATTCAGTTTGCTTTGAATCAAGTTTTGGGTTTAAAAGTCTGATTGAAAATGTATTGCGTTTCCAGTGAAGAAAAGAGCTCATTTAAGAACTTTCCCAGCCACCATACCTCCCCATCTCCCATTACTGGCCTTGGTGTACATTTTGCAGTTTTTCCTGTATGATCACTGTGTGAGGGGAACTATTCGTGTGCAATCGAGCCGATGCTTGGGGGTGTTTCCGTGTGTGTGTGTGTGTGTGCATGTGCGCATGCACACATGCACATCTGTGCACACTCTTGTCGCCACCCGTGGATCTCATTTTGCAACTGGTTACAAGAAGATCCTCTGAGAGCTTCACTGTTACAAGAGATAAAGATGAGGCTTTGGTGTGAAAGGTCCTTGCAGATCATCTGGCCTCGTCCTGAGAAACTGGCCCCCCGACACATCATGGAGTCAGATGGCACCAGATGCCAGACTTTGGATTCCTGGACCAAGGACTCCGCATTGACTCCTGCCACCACCGTGCCACTCCCAGGTCACTTACAAAATATTGAGGGCTTTTTTGTTTTTTTTTTTTAACTTGCACTAAGCAATTCTTATTTAGTCCGTCGAATAAAGGGGGGAAATAGCTTAAAGTGTCTAAAAACAAAACACAAAAATGCTTGTTTTGACAACCTGGGGACAAAATAACACCAAAACCCCCGACTTCTGAGGCAGGATGGGCCCGTACCTTCCTCTGGCATGTTTTCCTTGGGCTTTTCCTATTTTCCATCTTCTAACCAATGCGCGTTATTTAAAAGACTCTTAATGGTTGCATTTCCCCTGTAAGCCTGGAAAACCTCACTTTTATTTATTATTATTATTATTTTTAGCTTTGTAGTTTATGAAACACCTGAAAGAACCGGGTTGGAGTTAGTAGCACTTTTATGATAGGCGTGGGCCTGGGGCCAGGAGCCCGGAGACCTGTCATCAGTGTTGGTGTGATGGATGCCCCGGGGCACTTCTTTCATCTCAGCGAGAAAGCATCTTTCTCACTTCACTCCCAAGAGGAGGATTTCCATAAAAATGTAGTGTAAACTATTCCCCATAAATATGCTCATTCCATTCTGTTTCTGGCATCGAAATTAAAAATTCCCAACCTTTGAAATGAATGGTAGGTTCGATTTCATGTGATTTTTTTTTTTTTTTTTTTAACTGACAACTAATACGAGCTGTGTGTGCATATGTAACACACAGTGGACTAGAGGAGGTCAGTATGGAAAAAAGATTCCACTGAGGTCCAGCAAGGAGCGATATAGGAATTCTGGGGGTGTGTATTAGTGTAAATACTCTAGGTGCGGTCTAGACCGATAGTTTTAGTTTTTAAAAATAAAGCACCGTTTTTGGCTTTAAAAATATCACGCCCTCAAGTGGTGAGGAATAAAATGTAAGATATTCTTCAGCTTTAATTATTTTTAAATTTTCAGGTCAGAGCACTTTTTTTATAGCAATACAACAGGCAAGAGAATACTCAAACATATTTAAAATTGTGTTTATACCAAGAGTACGTTTTAAATATTTTCTAATACTTGAGCAGTTTTTGTCTGGCTGGCTTCCAAATATGCCAAAAGTTATGCATTCAATGTGTTAACACATAAGCTTTTTACTAATAATTCTTAAGTGTTCCCAATGCAACTGATGTTTACAGGGCTTGTGTTTTTCTTCCTTCTTTAGAAGGATCGGGGTCCACAACAAACTTACTGTATAAAACACTAACGATGGGCTAACTTCTGGTGTAACGCGTGAGTTGGCTACGACCTTGATGTAAAAATTTGTAAAGGAAATTTTGCACCATTTTGAGTGTCAGATGTATTTTTAACTGTCTGGTTTGTACTTTTACGATTTTTGTACTACCAAAACAGAGTTAAAAATAAAAACGTTGAACACATTGTGTGGTGTTTGAACGATTGAGCTGTCGGTGCCCCGGGGGCCCTGAAAATGTGACAGGAGCGGTAAGGCTCGTGTGGCGCTTGGCTAGCGCCGTGCCCGATTTCTTGGGTCCGAATCGACCCGTGATGATTTGCCTGACTCTCCCCGCTGGATTTCAACCCCTGCTTCTCCCCAGCAACAGCCCTCCCCAACCCTTGATTATTTTTAAGATGTAGAGATCACTCTGAATATATACAAGAGTTGCAGTGTCGGTGCAAAGAGTTTCTGTGTGCTCTTCACCCCGTTTCCCTCTATGTCAGCATCTTACGTCACTGGAGACCAGTGATCCAGACTAAGACATTAATGCGGGTACAATGCTACTGGTGAAGCCACACCAGTCGTTCCAATAGTGTCCTGGGATCACTCACTGCCTTTGGTCGTCTGGTCTCCTCTGAGCTGTGATCGTCCCTCATCTCTTTTCTTGGGATTTATGATCTTGATGCTTTACTCTGTACCATTCTGTTATTTTGCAGGATGCCCTTCAGTGTAAGTTGGCCAGTTGTTTCTCCTGACTGGATGGAGGGTCCGTGTTCCGGGAAGGATCCGATGTGCCTTTCCCACTGCATCACAGCAGGGGGGCGTGATGTCCGTACAGATTACTAGTGATGTTAACTTCCATCCTTTGGTCAAGGCGACGGCCATCAGCTTTCACTTTGGTAAAGTCACCATTTTTTCCCTGTCGCAGTTAACATTTGAGAGGAGAGCCTTTGAGCTGAGGCAGGTATCCTATTTCCACTTAAGGTTTCGCCCATTAGTTCTACCATCTGTATTAGTTTCTTAGGGCTCGTGTAACAAATTGCCACAAACTGGGTGGCCTGAAACCACAGAAATTTATTCTTTCCCCGTTTAGAAGTCCAGAAGGCTGAGACTGTGGGGTCTGCAGTGCTCCTTCTTTCCGAAGCCCCTGAGAGAGAGTGTGTTCCATGCCTCGCTCTTAGCTGCTGCTGGTTGCTAGCAATCCTCAGCGTCCCTTGCTCTGTGGCTGCTCCCCTCCAAGCTCTGCCTCTGTCTTTCCATGGCCGTCTTTCCTGTGTGTGTGCCTCTGTCCGCTCTTCTCATGAGGACGCCAGTCATTGGATTTAGGACCCACCATAGTCCGTGTGCTTCATTTTAACTTGATTACATTTGCAAAGGCCCTAATTTCAAATAAGATCACATTCACAGGCATCAGGTGTCAGGACTTCAACACGTTTTTTAGGAAACACAATTCAAGCCACTACGCCATCCAGTGGTGGATCTTGCCTGCGACAGTAATCACTGTGATCGGGGGCTCTTTCAGGTTGGTGCTCGTGTCCTTTCGATAGGGTTCCATGCTCTTTATTTCTCACTCCTTCCCTCCTTCTACCCTTCCTCCTTCCCTCCTTCCTTCCTCCCTGCATCCCTCCCTCTTTCTTTCTCTCCCTTCCTTCCTCCCTTCCTCCTTCCCTCTTTTCCTCTTTTCCTTCCTTCCTTCTTCTCTTCCTTCCTTTCTTCCTTCCTTCCTTCCTCCCTTCCTACCCCCCTCCCCTTCTGCCTCCCTCCCTCTCTTGATCCCTTCCTTTTTCTTTTACCCTTTGGCCCATTCTCACTGGTGGAACCACAAGAGGCTCCAGACTCATCTTGTCACCTTGTATTTCCCTTGTCTCAGCCCCAGAATTGACCAGCAATCAAGGAGCCCTGGTTCCTCTTACTGTACAATTGGGTGTAGAAATAAAGCTCAGGACAGTGGGTGTGCTCACTGAAGCAGAGGCATCCCTGCTTCTAGGCTTCTATGTGTATAACACACCCACACACACTTCTGTTCCTTTCTGTATATATCTTTGGAACAAGCATAAGCTGGGACCGGCATTCTGACTGCAGCCTAGTTCTAAGAGCTCATTCCAAACGTCCTGCTCTCCTCCTCCAGGGAGGAAACCTGGCTCTTACTGTCTGAAATATTTGCACCCAGGGGGTGCCTGGGTGGCTCAGTCGGTTAAGCATCTGATTCTTGATTTTGGCTCAAGCAGTGATCTCACGGTTCATGAGTTCGAGCCCGCACTGGGCTCTGTGCTGACAGCATGGAGTCTGCTTGGGATTCTCTCTCCCTGTCCCCCGCTCAAAAATAAATAAACTATAAAATGTCTATAGTTGTTAAATCCTAGCATACATATAAGGTAGTCTGAATATATAGCCCTGGGAGGAACAAATTGCCATCTAGAGCACAGTGTGTGTGGACAGCTCACTTAGTGTTTAGCCTTACAGCCTCCAGCCCTGTGCACAGGTCTTAGGTCGGCTCCTTTGTCCCGCACCCCTCAGCGTGGTCACGTGATTCAGTTTTAGCACAGAGGCACTTGTCATCGTCTGTGTTCCGTCTTTCCTTTACGTCCTGGTTAGAATTTTTTAAATTAATGCGGCAGAGTTCACTGTGGTGCCTCATTGGATTTGGATTTTGAATTTTCATGGGATTTTGTTGTTGCCTTGAAAACAAGATGACCAATAGTGGCTTAGGTTAAGAAAGTGGAAAAGCTGGTTTCATCGTTTTCACTTCCCCCAAACCAAGAACTCCAGAATGTATGCACTAGGGAGAATGTGAGAAATTTCCTCCAAATTCTTTCTTTTTTTTTTTTAAGTGTATTTTTATTTATTTTGTGGGTGAGAGA